CATGGCCCCCGGCCGCTGCAGCGATCATGGCCCCCGGCCGCTGTGCGGCCCGGTGCCAGGTACTCCACGGCCCGGCACCGGTCCGCGGACCGGGGGTTGGGGACCACTGCTCTAACTGACCTGAGCAGACAGGCAGTGCATTCCACACGAGTTGAAATTTGTAGATAATCTTCAAAAGCAACTTCATGTAGTCTGAGATTGTATTAGTATCTGTTAAGATCAAACAATTTTTAAAGGAAATTATTATTAAAGAGCAGTAATAGTATAAATCATATTTAGGAATTTTTGTTAAGGTCTGGAATAATGATTTTATGAGAAGTTTTTTGTTTGTTTGAAAAACTCCCATTAAAAAAAAGCAGATCTCTTATCATTTGTACCTATTAAATTTTAGCCTAATTAATGTTCCACACATTACGGATTTTATAAGGTTTCCATCCATTTTGATTGGAGGAAAATATTTTAAGTCATTTACATATTTCCTGTGCTTGACTATGGGAGAACATTTTCCTCAATCTCACTTCAGTTCTGGGTACAGGTAAAATCCTACAACAGTTCATTTAGTGACTGTTTGAAGTTACAACGGCACTGAAAAAAGTGACTTATGACCATTTTCCACACTTATGACGTTCAGCATCCCCATGGTCACATGATTTACAGTGGGATGCTTAACAACCGACTCACATATATGACGGTTGCAGTGTCCGGAGCCATTTGATCCCCTTTGGTGACCTTCTGACAAGCAAAATCAATGGAGAAGCCAAATTCACTTAACATCCGGGCTATTAATTTAACAACTGCAGTGATTCACTTAACAAATTTGGTGAGAAAAGTTGTAAAATGGGGCAAAACTTACTTAACAAATTATTTACTTAGTAATTCAATTGTAGTTGTGAGGTCAGGACGTCCTGTACTGAGTTGGCCTAGAATTTCTCTGGTGGGTCAGTCAGTCCATTACTGGACTCCAAATCCTGCCTCAGATCAGGTGGCCTGTCAACATTCACAGAGTGTCAGGCCTGGAAGCCATCTCTTTGTATTGGGCCTTCTGGCCTGCCACATTTACTGCTATGGGAAAATGGGAGGGGGGATTATATGGAGTATGGGAGATATATAGTCAAAATAACATTCCTTTCTCAGAGAGAGTCTCAGAGAGTCAAGGACATCTTGCCCTGCACCTGGAAGGCCATTGACTAGAAATCATCTCCAGTTGGGACAGGGCCTGATTGGACCATGTGGTAGACATGTGGGTTCTGGGCAGAGACTTGAGTGAGGAAAACCTGGAAACTTTCAGATCCGGGTTTTCCCAGATGTGCCAATATGACATCTCTAATAAAATGGAACTTTGAAGAAGTTCAAGCCTTGGAGTCTTCTTTCATTGGGGGTGTTACTTGGAACCCTGACACAGAAACCTAGTATCCAATGCCATTCATTGAGTTACAATTTCATAAACAGAAGCTTCTATACTTTTAACCATATACATGTGGACTCCACCAAAATTTGTCATTTGTGTACATGGAAGGAAAGAAAACCTGTTAGTATACACCTTGTACATTTATGGAATGAATAATCTGAATCCTCGAATGAATGTTCAAAACCATTCTACAAAATCAGACATCGTCCTGTTGTCCCTGCACATCATTTGACACTCCTATTAAATTACTGTCAAAGTGGGAACATTGCAGCACAATGAAGAACAGACCCAGAATTTCTATATAAATTATCTCAGTCCTGCTGGTACAATTGTATTTGAAACCCTGTTAAATTTTAACAAAGTTCTGGTGTATTATTTTGGTGGAGGTGAAAGTCTTCTTTTTGAACTTTCTTTTGTCTTGTCTTTTCTCTAGGTTGTAGACTTACTCGTATCTATGTGCCGTTCTGCATTAGAATCCCCAAGAAAAGTTGTCATATTTGAGCCATATCCTTCAGTAGTGGATCCTAATGACTCTCAGATGCTAGCCTTTAATCCCAGGGTATGTATTATATTTGTATTTGGAGGGGAGGGGTGTTGATATGGGCAAAAAACATTGCTTCCTTCTTTTTCCACATTCTTGGAAGATGACTGAGATTAAGGCTCAGATAAAAATTATGTACCCTGCATGGTTACTTATATAGCATCAGTCCTTATACAAACCAGTTGATTTAGGTGGTATCAATATATTAATCAAATATCATAAACGTTCAGTTCACACATTGTGGCAAAGCTATAAAGTGGTTTGTTGCTTAAACTAGATCATTTTTTAACCTGTTTCCCTGAAAATAAGACCTACCCTGATAATAAGCCCAATCGGACTTGTAAGCGCATGCAGTAAAATAAACCCTCCCCCGAAAACATGCTCTCCCCAAAAATATTGTAACATAGCAGCAGCCATGAGGTGACCACACTCGCCGCCTCCTGCACCTCAAAAATAATAAGACTGCCCCAAAAATAAGACCAAGTGCTATTTTGGGGCTCAAAAGAAAATAAACCCTGTCTTATTGTATGAACCCAGTTACTGAGATCTGTAAACTATGGCTTAATACAAATACCGTATTTCCCCAAAATAAGACAGGGTCTTATTTTCAGGGAAATACGGTATTTGTATTAAGCCATAATTTGATTTAGATGGTGACAACAGTTGACACGAGTATGTCAGTTGCATTATGTGCATGATGATGTTACATTTACAACATTTTGATGCAGTTAGGACTTGTAATGGTATAAGGATTATAAATTTCATCTTCTATATAAATTTATTGGTAATTGTTATGATAGCTACAGTGACAGTGAAACCAATTATTCAGAAAAGTCATGGGCTTCCCTTCACAAGATATATTCCAGCAGGGAGCTTAGAGAGCTATCTGCTATAGATTCCTTGATTTCAATGCCTGCATACGGCAGAGGCTTGGATTCAGGAACTAAATGGATTGTTCCAATTTTATCACTATAAGCCAGGGATATCAACTCTATTTCAATGAGGGTCACATCAGAGTTGTGTTTCACCTTGGGAGACCATGTGGGGCTTGGCTAGCTCTATGTCACTTGTGTCAGGGGCGCAAGTGATCCCTCTGCCAATGAAAACGGACTTCCAAGTTCTGTTTTCGGTTGCGATGGCTTCCTGAAAGCCTCTGCCAGTGAAAACAGAGCTGGGGGGGCTGCCTGTGGTCCTTCTGAACTCTGTTTTTGGCTGGGATGGCCTTGTGCAACTCTCTGCCAGCAAAAATGACCTCCGTTTTCACTGGCAGAGCCACCTTGGGGCAGTCCTTCGCTGTTTCCAGGATGGCCCCACGTGCCAGATCTAAGCACCCCACAGGCTGGATCCGGCCGCTGGTCCTTGAGTTTGGCAGCCCTGTTATAAGAGATATACTTAATATACTTTAAAATGTGCAATGGGAAAAAGTAATCTTTCATTTCTTTCACCATAGAAGAAGAATTATGACCGGGTCATGAAAGCACTGGATAGCATTACTTCCATAAGAGAAATGACGCAGGTAGGCAAAATAAATAAGTAAATGAATTGTTGTGCTCTAAAGTCTTATTGCATGATACATCTGTTGATTAGATTTTAGTATTGTGTGGTTATTGTTCTACTAGAGCCCTCCAAGGAAAGCCTATCAAAATAATCTTTGTGTAGATAACAAGTTGCAAGATAAAAATCAGTGAACCACAACATGGACAGATCAAGCTTGAATGTTGCCATCGATATCATATGCCATTACGAGAAACTTTTCATTCAAAAATAGGGGCAGGACTGCCTGTGAGTAAATAGATTGTTCCGCTGTCTGGGGACTTCAGCTCTGACCAGAAGTCCCTTGCTTTTTGTGTGTGTATTTATTTCTTTATTCGTGTGCATTCTTAGGAACAAGCCAAAGCAAACTGCCAAGGGAAAAATACAGATTTGTGACAATCTGGCTGCAATGACACTGATGGTTTTGCAAGTAAAAGCTTGTTCACTTAAGTGAAACAGGAGAGCATTTGGAGATGGAAGAAGGCTATATTGTGACTCTACCAAAAGTTCTGCCGAAGCTAAATTTGATGTGTCTCTTTAGATTGGGCAATCAAAATGATGTACTAAAATGTGGTGACATTCACTCAAGGTTTAAAATTGGGTCACGGTGCATATCTGTGAATGTGCAGATTTATCAGCCCTTCTTGCCATGGTAAACCCCAGTTCTCTAAAATTGCACCCTTCTGAATACAGTAGCTTTCAGCTCAAGAGCGGCAAGGGGATGGACCATATTGTGAAAATTAGAGGAAGAGGCACATTCCTTGAACAGAATATTTGAGTTGGAGCAAGTAGAAACTTTATAAGTTCTACTGGTACTACAGAAGCTACAGTATGTCAGAAAATTCTTCTTTCCAATGTGATAGAAATTTATCTTCTCTCTCTATCTCCCCATTCCCCAGTTTACCCTATTCAGGGACACACTAAATAGCATTTTAGAGGATTTGAGATAGCATTATTGGTGAGACTTACAAAGATGTATACCTGAATAGAACCTATTGTATTTTATTGATCCTTGCGTTTTGGCACCAGTTTTTAAGAAGTATATATTAGCTGCTTGGGAGGCATTCTACATAAAATTGCTGTGAATAGTATACACAATGGACCAATTTATCTTAAAGTTCGATCATGGTTTTAGCTCACGTTTATGAGCAACCTCAAGCATCTCTTTCTTGTTTCAGCATATATAGGACAAAGAGATAATCAACAACTGATCTTAAACTAATTAAGGGTTCTCAGGATATTAATTGTTAATTGTAGACAAAGATTTTAAGCAAGGAATGGGAATGCTACTTTGGAAACAGGCCAGGATCAAGCAAGCTATGTGTAACCCAGTGGTGGGTTCCAGCCAACACTACTGCCAGTTTGCTCATGTGCGTGCTTCGCGTGCGTGCGCTTGATGGTGGTGCCAACAACGCCAACCAGGAAACTGATTCAGGGGTGTGGCAGGCGCCAGTTACAATGACCCAGGCCACCAAACCACTACCGCTTCAGCCGAACCGGTCCAAACTGGTAGGAACCCACCACTGGTTTAACCATTGCTTACAGAAACAATTATTCTTCCCAGTTTGTATTTAACAAAGAAGTCTTTACTATAAAATAGAAAGCAAAAACCTCTGACCTCATGGCCACCTAGGAGGAAGAGGAGACTTGAGGACATGCAATCTTGTGCTCATGAAAACATAAGGTGTATTAATTATATTGACTGGCAAACATTGCAGTCTTGTCAACATTAATTTCATCAAATGTTTCTCTTTAAACATGCTTTGTTTACTATCAGTAGTATCTCTACTATTTTATTAAAGCTTTTGTGAAGGGATATCAGTCAGTTAAACTGTAAAATGTGGTGTCTTTACAAGGACTGCTAAAGTGAGAAAGTCATAGTGTATCACTGCGAACAAATCGCTATAATGAGCTTCTCAAAGAGCATTTTCAATCATTGTTACATTCAATAATGTGATTTTTTTTTAAATGGAGTAATATTTTACTGACGTTTGTGGATAACTGAATTATACTCCTAAGAGGCCCAGTGAAAATCAAATTTCAATTCAAAAGCTCCACTCGCACGAGCACCAGGCAGTTGTGCAGGAAACTCCGCTTGTGTGAGTGGAGGGCACTTGATCAGAGGGCATTTATGCTTGTGTGCAAAACTCAACTCACGCAAGGGGAAGTTACTAGTGTGCGAAGCTCCATTCATGCGAGTGGAGCTTCACGCATGAGTGCAAGCACTTTCCACTCACACAAGTGTAGCTTTATGTGCGGGTACTTGTCTGCTGGCAGGTTTCAAACAGTCCGGGGCCTGGTCAAACAGACCGTGGCCTGGTACTAAACTGCAGTCTAGGGGTTTGGGGACCCTGGCTTAGGGGACCACTGAAAAATAAGGATAGCATAAGCAGGTCCAAAAAAATTTCTTAAAATATCTACAGAGAACAGGCTATACTAGATAGCAAATGTCTTGTAAGAGATAGTTGGGAAAGAATCCCAGAGAACAGTGACGAAATGTAGTTTTATAACAAAATGTGCTACTGTTCTAGAGTTTTGAACTACCATAATTTTTGGACTATAAAATGCACCGGACTATAAGACGTACCTAAATTTATAGGAGGAAAACAAACAAAAAAATAGTTTTTGGCCTCCGTGCATCACGTTTTTGCCCTCCCCAGCCCCCAGAAGCACTCTGCAGTGTTCCGCTTGGGCTGTTTTTGCCAAAAATGAGCCCGTTTTTGGCCTCCCAAGCCCTCCGTGTATCGCATTTTCATCCTCCCTAGCCCCCAGAAGCACTCTGCAGGCCAAAAACAGGCCTGTTTTACATGCAGAGCATTGCAGAGTGATTCTGGGGAAAAAAGCGATGTGTGGAGGGCTCGGGAGGCCAAAAATGGCTGTATTCGATCTATAAGATGCACGTAAATTTTGACCCATTTTTAGGGGTGCATCTTATACTCTGAGAAATACAGTATATATAGTTCATCCAGTCTTATCAATTACAAAATAAAACCAGTTGATTTTGAAAAAATGCAGTTGAATACTACTTAGTATTTGAGTGGGAAATTACCAAAAAAATGTTTAAGAAGCCAGAAAAACCTCCAGAAGGTGACAGTAACAATCCATTTTTTTTTGTTACCAAAGAAACTACATGAATATGCCTATGGGGTCCCTAGAAGCTGAGCTTGACCCAAAGGAGACTTTGTTAAAGTGATAGCTTTTTCTTTAGGTGACTTGCTAAACTGATCTACAGTTTCTTGGATTAGTAGAATTACCAGAAACAATACTGGTTTGTATCTAATTGCAGCATATCTCTTAGCTGATAATTGTACTGTTATTATTTCATAGGCACCTTATTTAGAAATAAAGAAGCAGATGGACAAACAAGACTCACTTGCGCATCCTCTACTACAGTGGTAAAGATATTACATAGATTTATATGCCATCTATTTAATACATTCAGAGTACTTTTGAAATATGATGATAAGGCCCTAGTTATTTATACCTTGTTAACATGATGTACAATTTCCTTAAACTGAAGAACAAATGTGTTCTTCCTATCTAAGACAGTAAGTATCAACCCAATGCTTTATGACACTATATGGTGTAATTGAAAAATCATGTACAACTTCTAAATTTAGAATCCTTGCCTGTATGAGGGCCTGGGCATTGAATGGTCACGTGGGCATTGTAACACAAAATAGGGTTTCAGAATTCATAACATTATGCCTTGGATGGGGATGGGCAGAAAGGATCAAATTTTCGCTCAGCTAATTGAAGATGGTTTGTGTCCTTCCTTTGTAAATATTGATTAGAAATAATTAAAATGACATAGATTCCTTGAATTCAGCAGAGTACAGAGGACATTTTATTTTGAGCTCTAAGATAGGTTCCTTGAATTCAACAGGGCACATTTTATTTTGTGACTTGCTATAGTTTTGCTAAACTCGATTTTTACTTGATTGATACAAATAACTAGGCTTACCATGGGGGACAAAATATACCTTGCAATAGTTGAGCTTCTCTATATAAACACAAGGAAAATAGAATAAAGACTCCCAACAGTACTTTTTTGGCATTCAGGGCTAGCATGAAAAACTGTGATTTATTTTGTTTCACATATTCTCTATTTCAGGGTTATTTCCAGTAATAGATCACATATTGTGAAGCTACCTGTGAACAGGGTAAGTTTAATGTTAAGAGCAAGTTGGTTTTTCGAAGAATACGAGATTTAGTTTATCAACCAGTAGATTTTGCTTTTCTGTGCCTTTACCTTTTAAAAAATGCAACTATTCAGTAGTGGCTCTATTCTTTAGCTGGAAGTAATAGGAGTAGTTGTATATGGAGATCATCAGGCTGGAACTGATGCATATTTCTTAGATTTAAGAAAGATGGTTAAAATTCGGATAGTATGCTTTTTCAAAGAAAGTAAATTTACCTAAAAACAATTGTAGGGACTTACATTCTTAACTCTTTCTGTGTTTCAGTGCTGCTGGATTCTAATATACGATTGGCTCAGCCCTTGATTATATATAAATTAAGATTGGCTGAATATATCAATGATATCAAATTTTAAGAATGAACTGTTTGGCATAGGAAATCCTTTAAGTCTAGAAAAATATATCTTAACATCCCAACCTCAATAAGACATGCCATTACACCCTTCCATCCACAGATCCTTCAGATAAATCTTGGTTTTGCAAAAGAGGTATTAACACTGGGGAAACCTCTAATAGCCAAATAGAAATATTCAAAGTTATTTCTAGAAAAGAATAAGAAAAGTTTAGAGAACTCTGGAATACTTGATATGTTCCAAGGAAGACCTTTATGTAGTTTAACAGCCATAATCATTTGATTATTTGTCAACAGTCTTTCAATATGATTTACAACACAGGATATGAGGACACAGTGGCTCAGTCACTAAGACACTGAGCTTGTCAATCAGAAAGGCCGGCAGTTTGGCGGTGCTAGTGCTGCATAACGGAGTGAGTTTCCGTTACTTGTGCAGGCTTCTGCCAACCTAGCAGTCCGAAAGCACATAAAAAAATGCAAGTAGAAAAATAGGAACCACCTTTGGTAGGAAGATAACAGCATTCCGTGTGCCTTCGGCATTTAGTCATGCCAGCCACATGACCACGGAGACATCTTTGGACAGNCACCAGCCAAAACTGGTCTTAGATTAGCATAAGAACCACATTCCTGAAGAAAATTGGATCACGGTACATATCTGTGAATGTATGAAAAATTTACTGAAGAATTCAGTAAATGTATGAAGAATATATCTGTGAATGTATGAAAAATTTACTGAAGAATTCAGTAAATGTATGAAGAATGTATGAAGAATTCACTGAAGTATTTACTAGCATTTTGTTTATTTCAACTTTCAGCTCCATGGTGCAATGTTTGGAAGTGGTATTTACCTTAGTCCATTGTCAAGCATATCTTTTGGTTACTCAGGTGATGTATATTAATCCCTTTGTTCATGCGGTGGGAGGGAATACCACAGGGAGTGGGAAAGTAAATAATAGTCACCTCTGCGCAAGATGGGAGGCATACAAATTTAATAAATAAAAATAAACAGGTCTCTACATTTCTAAATTTTATCTGTCAAATAAAGCCATTCCGGCTTTACTCTACATATGCAACATGCCAGAATTAAGAAGAAGGAAAAAAAACAGGCGTAGGACAGAAGAAAGATGGTTAAGCAGCCGAGTGTCTCTCAGCTTCAGCAACTTTAAATGTGTGAACTTCGATTCCTAGAATTCAGCATATTGCTGGCTGGAGAATTCTGGAAGTTGATGCCTACACATCTTAAAAGATGCTGAGAGCGAGAAACACTAAGGGAGCTGAATTCGAAAGTGGAATAGAGAAACTATTTCTTGTTCAGTAGGTGGTACCTTTCATACATCAAATGTACTGAAATAAATACAGCTGGTAAAATATAAATTGATATAAGGCTGTTCTTTATTAATCTAATGGGAGTCAGAAGTTAACAGAAGGCAGCTAAACTCTCCGTTTTCATGAGCTGTATCATATATCTACATGCACCAACATTATTCATTTGTTATTCTGCTTGCCCTCTATATCCCCATGAGCTACTTCGATAAATTAAGATCAAGATTCCTCAAGGAGTCTGCTCATACAAAGTTTTACTTCCTTACTAATTACATTTAACCTTCCAGCTGTAATTAAGAAATGTCAAATTGTTTTCTACTCTCCCATGAATATCCGTAGAAATGAAGAATTTTTGACATTCCAAATGTTTGCTGGACTACAATTCCCAACATCCCTCACTATTGGCAATTTTAGCTAGAAACTGTAGTGCTCAAAATCTGAGGAGGTATTTACTCCTGATACTCCTGACACGTCTGATGCGAAAGACAAGATACAGAAATACGCCCCTCTCTAACATTTTTACATTTAGCTACAACAAAAGACTCAGCCAGGTGCAAAATCGGGGGATGGAGGGGGCTTTTTGATGCAGTGGCCAGTAGTAGCATTTGTCTTTTAAGGCAGGTAATAAATTCCATCCAGGTTGCAATAAAAAAAAAATGTTCGCTAAGCTAGCATTGTGTGGTATCCTGCAGTTTAGCCATCTTTATACATAAACTTAAGATTGGCTCAGCTGATATGAAACTTGCTTTTAACTTGTTTTTAACCTGAGCTTAGCATGCAACGTCTCATTATTTATCAGAAACAGAAGTGGGTTTTAGAATGCTGTATGATTGGGTCATTATTGTTGCCTGCATAAATGTACTTACCGTATTTTTTGCTCCATAAGACACACTCAAACACACACACCCCAAAAAAGGGGGTGGAAATGTTTGTGCGTCTTATGGAGCAAATATTGCATCACAGACCATGAAGTATATTACCTCATGGGTCCCCAGTGATGGACCGGTGCTGGTCCTTTGGTGAATAGCAGCCAGGCCGCTGCCACAGGGTCCTTTTACAGTGCTGAAACCTGCCCCTTCTGTCTTTGTCATTGCCCACCTCTTCTGTCTCTGTTCTGCAGTGCGGGAGTCAATAGATAAAGCTGGCACATGAGAGGACACCTATCTGTGGTCCTCCCAGGCTCCGCCTCATGCCCTCACTACACTGCTGCTCCATATTCGGTGCTTCAAATATTTTTTAAAATTGTTTGCCTCCTCTAAACGTAGATTCATTTTATGGTCAGGTGCAGTCTTATAGTACAAAAAGTACTGTAACTACTAAACTATCGGCTGCTGGAAATGATAGTCAGCAATGGCATTAATACCTGTCTGCATTCTGTATATGGAGTGGAACATCTCATACAGTATTTTATGCACCACTATGTCTGATGTAAATCCAATGTCTTTAGGGATGAACAAGAAACAGCAGAAGGTATCAGCTAAAGATGAGCCTGCTTCAAGCAGTAAAAGCAGCAGTGTATTACAGGTAAAGAAATATATGATGCACTTCAAAAAGGCATTTTCTTTTCTTTTTCTTTTTTCTTTTATGGCTCTCCTTGCTCAAGGCAGGTGCCGGATACAGTGGTAATCTACCCCCACAGCATCCTTGTTCACATTGGGTGACTCATACAGGGAAGGACAGAACCAGAAAGCCAATGCATTATTATCTGACAAGGACATATCATAATGTTGTGTGTGTGCTGTCCTTCTATTCTTATTCTACCTGTTAATATATTTTGATTTAGAAAGACATTTGGCAGCTAATGATGCAGCTGACACATCCATTCATACAATTCGATAGATAATTAGAGTTCACTTATCCTGTGTTTGGGTGGCAGGCTATATACATGCATGCATGCATGCATACATACATAGATATGTGTGTGTGTATATGTATACATACATACATGCATGCATACATACATACGTACATACATGGAGGGAGAGAGAGAGAAAGAGAATACATCTTGAAAAGCCAGCTCAATGGGAAGAACAAAATCCATACCATCAAACATATGCAGGAGTGGGATTCAGCCGGTTCGGGCCAGTTCAGGCGAACCGGTAGCTCCGACAATCAGGTGGGAGCAAACTGGTTCAGTCTGACGATCAAGTGGACCCGTCCACCCCTGCATTTTACTTACCTATATCCTCTCAGCTGATTCGCCCGGCAGAGTAGATTGCCGCGCCTCAGCTGGGTTACTCCCCAGAAGTAACGTGGAAGGTGAATTTTGTTAAAACTGTGCGCAAAGCACATGTGAGTCGTGGAGTGCACACGCGCCCCTGAAGCATCTGATCACCGAACCGGTTGCTAAACTGGCAGGATTCCACCACTGAACATATGCCCTCCCAGTCATCATATTCCCTGTTCCTGTAGTGAGAAATGGCCAAAGGAGGTCAAGGAGGCTGTCTCACAATGCACATAGGTTCCCACCCCAAGTCCAGCACCCAAAGACCAGCTGGCACAGTCTGCTGAGTATCAAAACCAGTGTCCTGGACAAAACTCACGGCATCCTGGAGTACATCGGTGAGACGGCACCCAAAAATGAGCTGCTGAGAAAATGCCTGAGATAGCAGCAAACATGGGAGAAAGATCAAGCATGAAAGCGCGTATGTGACGTCATCACAGCGCGACGAAAACGGCATGCTGTGAGCGGTAAATTTAAAATTAATGCAAAAACTTTACCCTAACCCCCCCAAACCTAACCCTAAACCTAACCCTAAGCCTAACCCTAAACCTAACGCTAAACCTAACGCTAACCCTTAACCTAACCCTAAACCTACCCCTAACCCTTAACCTAACCCTAAACCTAACCCTTACCTTTATGTGAA